GTGTCAGTTAGACGGTGTACTTGATGCAGAGTCGAATGTTTTGATCGAAAACCAAATTGAGTATTAGGTATAATACTATGCTCGGATAAGATGGGTCTGATTCTCTTAAGGAGACATTTTTCAAAGAGTTTGCCTAAGGTGGGCAGMAAGCTAATGGGTCTATACGAGGTAACCATGTTTTTAGGTTTACCGACTTTCGGAATGAGAATTACGACAGCAATTTTCCAGATGGCAGGAAAGTATGRYAGACGCAGCATGGAATTATAAATAAATGTTAATAATAATATCCCTTTCTTGGAGAGATTTTTTAAAACTTTGTTGGTGATAATATCATAATCTGGAGCTTTACCGATCGGAAGTTTTTTAATGATACTACTAATTTCACCTGGAGATATAGGTTTGGTGGGAAGGGACATGGGTAGAGGAGACGARAGGAAATTGTKGACTTTATCTGTATGACTAGGATCAGGTCTTGGATATTGGTGGTTTTTGAATGTGGATTCTAAGTGCTCGCCGAACAAGATAGACTTTTCAATGTCGGTTACTGCTAAGGTAYTATTTTCTTTTAGRAGRKGTGKAGATARCTCTTTAATTTTGGTTAATCTTTTAGTGGCCTTCCATAGAGAGTTGTCAGAGGTCTTTAAAGATTGAAGATTAGTGGTGTAGTTTTCGTATTTATATTTTGAAAGAATTTTTTTCAGTTTATTGGAAATTTGATTATAACTGGTTTTGTCACTGGGAAGGTGGGTGCGTTGCCAGACAGACCTAGCGTATCTTTTTTCGTTAATAAGGCAGGTACGTGAAGTTGGCACTACAAAGTACTCAAAACTTTTCAAAGGCGACGTAAATGTATAGGAAGAATATTTTTTGGGACATTTTGGTGCTGATGGGTTGGAATTGTAGAATTTGAAGCTGCATCGGTTATTAATTTAACGAGATTTTGGGCAGCTATTTCAATTTCGTTGGTAGATTTAAGGGAGATTTTGAGATCGATATTKTCGTCCAAATAGGTTTTGAACGTTTCCCAAACGATCGGCCCATGTGTGAGAGAGGGTCTGGTAGATAAAGAGGGGGTTCCACCTACTGAAAGAATAACGGGGGAATGGTCACTGGCTATATCACAAATATTTTCAATATTTTTACTCAATGAATTAGAGGTGTTTGTGACAAAGAAATCGAGTATATCTGGGTTTCTGTTTGAATGGGTGGGCCAATATGTAGGACCTGTTGGTGAAACGAAGGAGTAGTGATAGTTTGAAATGACTGAGTGAAGAATTTTCCCCCTGTGATTGTTGGAAAAACAGCCCCACATAGGATGTTTAGCATTAAAATCTCCTCCCGCAATAAAAGAATTACATAGAGAGTTGAAAAAATTAACGTAGTCTTCTTGACGGATGGAATTACAAGGAGGGCTGTAAACCGAGGATATAGTTAAAGGCGCATTGTTAATTTTAATAGAAATATTTGTTGCTTGGATTGATGGTTTTTGGTAAGGAACTAGAAGTGTCTAGAACATTGTGTTGGATTGAATTGGATACAGGATCCAGCATGAGCTGTGCCATCGGGATGATCGGATCTG